TGTGCTGAGATTGACCTACGAATCTCTACATCATGCACTTTTAGCACAAAATGAAAGTCTATAACTACAAGTGACCTTCGTCTGTCTGCTATCGCAACGGTTTTTTCGTGTTGTCTTAGTTTCTTGGTGATATTGTTAGACCACTTATTTCTGTTTGCCACTCCTGCATGGGTATTAATTAGAGGAACGACTTAAATGTTCATTTTAGTTCTACTCTCTTCCGATAATCGGTGAAGAGCACGTGAGATGAGGCCAGACTAGATTTGCCAAAAAAGGACACACATTTTGACGAGTGGAATGTAAACAAGTGGGAAGTTGTGATAGGACGGCAGTGGGAGAAGAGGGTAGGAGTAGATAGATAGGCCAGGACAGAAAGAGAAGTAATTGTGTAACCGTTTCGGGCAGAACGGTTGTCGAGGGATTGGCTTCACGTGTCTCATTGACGAGTTCGTAGCTTGGTGCGAAGAATGGCAGCACTCACTGATGATGCCGGCGAAGCGATTGATGCTGGTAATCAAGACAACTATTATGACAGACGACTTCGGACTAGGTGCGTTCTACTAGGTCGCCCTGACAACAAGACCAAGTTGCGACAACGAGGTCAACCCAGTTGTTAAGTTAGGACGTTTACAGGAGACTAGCAATGCTTGTTTTGTTATCAAGTTTCCTTTCAACCATGGTTATAAGATTAAGATGGTAATTTTTAAGTCAACGATCATAAGAAGATATGACGGCGACCCTTTAAGCTTCCACACCATCTTCATCTTTATCTCAATCGTTCATTCACGCTGCTTAAGCAAATATATGAAGCAACTCTTAACCCGGTCAGATCTCAACTGATTTGTTCAAATTTGATGCGACCTGGCGCAAAGGATGGGAGCGAAAGCATGTAACATAGACGGAGGCTGTATGGACTTGAAGTGTGCACCAAAGCAAATTGTTGTAGCCATGGTTACAAGAAGAGGGGATGCCAGCGGGACAGGAAGTGTGTGGCGGAGGCGGCAACATGATCGTACTTTATTTTGCAGCGCGACGGGGAGGCGTACCGTTCGTTCGATGTGATTTCAGGCAAAGTCCCTTTGCCGTTGCGGCGCCAACCAAATCCTGAATAGTGAGACGTTGAAGGGTCGTGGTCGTGCCTCATCTGCCACCCGCGCGGGTGCCACAGCGGGGCGGGAAGAGGCGGCCCACTCCCGAGACGGCTGGGACGGCGGACTGTTGAGACGAGCAAGTGACCGAGTCGCGCGGTTGCTAAAGCCGGTGGAATTGAGGCGACAATCGATCCACCCTTGCACAAAGGTCGGCTTCTGATTGGTGCTGCACGGTTGATTCGGCTTTGTCTGATTGGATGGAACCGAGTGGAGCCAGGCTTAGGTCGGACTGGCGAGGATGTGATTGGTCGACGGCGTCTGATAACACCGGGTGCCTGTTAGTGTGTGTATGCTGGTGCCTGTGGTCGCAAGTCTCGAGGTCAGACAGAGCTGACGGTTGCGCCTAAATCTGCCTTGATTCACTTTCGCGTCAAAGGGTCAAACGGATTAGATGAGGAGGCCGGGCTGACTCATTATTAG